TTCAAAATGGTACAATTGGGAATACTTCTAAAGGTTCTGTGTTTACCCTCAAAAAGAGTATCATCCTAATTTCAGACTTCACAAGTCTATTATGCATAAAATAGCAACATTGGCAACACTAGCTTTACAAACATGGATCAATTTGCAAATAATTCAGAGAATTTTGGGAAGAACAAAGAAACAGAATTTGATGTGTGTTTTTTCAGGAAACCAGTGAACAAAACAAATCAATCAATCATAAGTACACAATTAGTTAAAGAGCAGGGCTGTTTGCAATTCAAATTCAAAACAATCTCATTAAAATGAGGTCTCTTATTCCGACAAAATACCTCTCAGCATGCAGATCTGAGCTCAACACAAATGAGTGAAACATCAGAACATCATTCGTTCCCAAAAACGAATATAATCTGGCAGTTCTTAATGTAAACAAAAGTTACACTATTATTTTGTTGTGGCTACACAACGTGTCAGGTTTTGATTCTGGTTTTCTTTAGCTGAGATCAGATCTTCCACATTAAAGTGAGTGAGTGAGTGAGTGAGTATGGTTTTACGCCGCTTTTAGCAATATTCCAGCAATATCACGGCGGGGGACACCAGAAATGGGCTTCACACATTGTACCCATGTCGGGAATCGAACCCGGGTCTTCGGCGTGACGAGCGAACGCTTTAACCACTAGGCTACCCGACCGCCCCGTCCACATTAAAGAAATGAAAAAGAACATCTACCTGGCTCAAGAATTTGAGCATACTTCATTTAGACTGGGAGCCCAAATCCTCTCAGTTCAACAAACACAACGTCACATCGTCACAAGGTATTGTATCACAGTAAAAGATATTATTTCAATGAGAATGCAATTGAAAGAGCAAATTACACGATACACATGAAAACACACAGATTACATCCGGGAACATTGTAGAAGATGTTCGCCTGTGATATGTCATCTAGGAATATATCAGAGCACCCATGCATGTAAAGGACATGTTACATATGTTAAAGGTTCCTACATAAACACAGCCATATTTCAACAAGCTGGAAAACAACAAAGCGAATACTACATGTTCTCATCAATAAATTGTAAACAAGCATAAACAACTACTAGTCTACAATCTAGCTGCATCATGTATATGTAGTTGTGTGTACAATAGATCATTAGAAAACGTCTTTATTTCAGGGAACCCGACTGACCAATAATATTCTAAATAATTCGAAATAAGGAAGATTTTCGCTTACCAACTTCAATTCTTTTTTAATGCACATCCTCAAAACATATTCCTAGTGGATAGAGCGGAGATTAAATATCATTACTTTAATCTCTGGCTGAGTCATACCAAGAGATGGTACTTGTTGTTAACCTGCCTGGCGTTCAGGGCTGAAACAAGGACTGGTCGGCTCGGAGTCAGTATACTGTGTCTGAGTGGGGTATTCATGTTAAACTGGCATGGTATCTCAGTGGGCTAACCCTAACAAACCAGCATTAGCCCGGACTAGTACAAGCAGCCACACACACATCATGCACATCGCCGTATGAGTGCAACAATCTTGAATGTAACGTTAAACCCCATTTCACCTCACCCTACCACCTATTAAACCTACTGACTGGGTGGCATTACCTGCAGCAGGGGTTTCTAATGCTGGCTATGTGTATCTACATTGGAAGGGAAAACACCCCACTGATCAGGTTTGGGTAATAGAAGACCAATGCTACCGTATTCCACATAATGAGCACCCTGGGTGCTCTCAAAATTAGAAATAGGGGGCTCTTATTAGAATATTATTTTGGTGAAAAAACAGAGGTGAAAGATTGTAAATTTCGTGGTTTATGCTGACAGCCTGAAATCTTCATATACCACACACATATTTTTCCAGAATTTAACTGCCCATAATTAAGGGTGCATATTATACACGTATAAATAAGTCTTGTGTACATTGCTCAATCGGAAAGGGTGCTAATTGGGATTGTTCACTAGCAATTATATTAGCAAATATTGCCGTGGGTGTTTATTAGAGCGGGGCGCTTATTACGTCGAATACGGTATATACTGAGGGAAGAACATAACAGAACGACTGAAGCATGCTTTCTGACATGACATTCATGACCTTCATGACATTCAGCATGTACTCCATGGTTAACCAGAGAACTCTGGCAAAGTTCTTACACAAGTAAGGTTGGATCAAGTCTTTAAATGGCATTCAGAAGTGATACACATAAGGAAGAGAATTTATGGATGTCAACTTCTTTATTACGAGGAACACAACGTTTCAGAGTACATACTTACCCCTTCATTCACCTGAAGGATTAATTTTATACTCCAAAATGTTGTGTTCCTCATAATAAAGAAGTTGACATCCATTAATCCTCTTCCTTATGGTCGTATGTTTTGTCTCATTTCTCGCAACCATGATTTCGATTAATGACTTTCAAATAACTGGAGCAAAAAGGACAATCAGAAAATAAAAGATAAAAAGACAACTCTATTATTTATGGATTAAAAAACTACACATTACACATTTCAAAAATAAAATAATAAATTGCCTTTATACACCCTCCGGCCAATACATATATACTACTCAAAAGAAGTTAAGGAATTATTTTTTTCCTATGAAAGTTAATTTGTCATGACTGGTGGGTGTTGCAACACGCAGCCTTCCAATTATGGGCGTTCTTTAACTTGTTTTGAGTAGTATACTTTATAAACACTTTATAAAGCTTTCTCTGATGGAGTGAGTGAGTGAGTGAGTGAGTTTGATTTTACGCCGCTTTTAGCAATATTCCAGCAATATCACGGCGGGGGACACCAGAAATGGGCTTCACACATTGTACCCATGTCGGGAATCGAACCCGGGTCTTCGGCGTGACGAGCGAACGCTTTAACCACTGGGCTACCCGACCACCCCTCTCTGATTGAAGTAAATGCATATAAATATACCGCAAGTGATTCTTATCATTTCATTTGACATACATGAATTAACTCATTGGCAAATAACCTGTAAACCTTGTAAAGATCTACACAATCGGGACACGATGACAATCCAGTGATTGATATTATGAGCATCGATCCACACAATCGGGACACGATGACATGCATCAACCAGGTCAGCGAGCCTGACCCCCGATCCCGTTAGTCGCCTCTTACGACAAGGATTGTCGCCTTTACGACAAGCATGGGTTGCTGAAGACCTATTCTACCCCGGAACTTCACAGGGGGAGACAAGCATGGATTGCTGAAGACCAATTCTAACCTGGATCTTCATGGGCCAACAATAATCCAACGATGCACACTTAGTTCAGTCGTTGCTGGTAATCTGTCTGTCACGTCTTCCCGAAAATACATTTCAACGACCGATGTGTTTGGAAGGCAATGGCAGGTTACGTATTTTGAGACACTAATCATGATACGATGAAAGTAGGTCACCATCAATAGTGAGACATACAACTGATAAGATGATAAGATTGTCATTTCTTGTGATGTAAGTACTCAAATTGTACAACCATATAAGTACAACGCATGGTATACAAAATGACACAAATACTTCATAAAACGTTACAGTGATCTTGACCTTTTTAGCTCTCTAAAAAGCAAAAAGCATGTACCAAGTTTCAGTGACCAACAAGCTTGATAAGTTAGTCCATAATTCAGTTTCTTTAAGGCAATGACCTTGGGGATGACCTTGACCTACAACGAACGATCATTGTCTCAAAAACAGGCTTGTGGTTTTAAAACAAAACATAGCGGCCAATAATCAAATTTCCATAAGGCATCCCAAATTAAAAAAACATGATTAATGTAACAAAAAGCTTCTGAATAGTATTTAAAATACTTTCAAACCAATCAGAAGCAGAAGTTTAAAACAGCCAATCAATTATAAGCAAGTAAACCTACTGAGCTAAGTTTACGTAATACTCTCCAACTCCATGACGAAGTAATAACCATTCCTTCCCCTCAAAATACAAAACAATAATACAATAATACAAAATACAATAATACAATAATACAAAATACAATACACAATACTATACCCAAACCGTGGTATAGTCCGTGACATCAACCTTGACTCAGTCAATCAATATATATCACTAGTTTTTTAAACTGGTACACATTTTATACACTTGACACACGAGAAACACATCAGCAGATGTATCAGGTTACCACAAAAGATGTTCCACTCCTTCGACTCACGTTTCGCACTTGTGGCTAACACAACAGACTGTGATCTTGTTGTTCGACCCAATGAAAAAACCTCCAGTTTTTAAACTGGTTCAAATTTCCAAAGGCAAACAAACACATAAATATCTATTTTCACAGCCAATGAATTATCCACATCAATACGTAAGGAAAATTGTGACAGATGTGGCAATGGATCTCCAAACAGCTGTCAAAGTCATTAATATCAAATATCTTCAGTATAAATGTGATAATAATTTATTGAAAATAACAAATATTGTGTTCACTGAAAACTACCCATTTTATCTTGTATATCTAGTGAATTTATCTCTGGAGTATCATTCCACAAATAATTTTTGAAGTTGGGTATGAATCGATGATACGTCTAAGCTAGTGTGCATAGACTAGGGGTGACTATTGGTCCGGAAATCACTATTGCGATAACTATTGATTTTGAAAGAAACTATTGCGATAACTATTGATATTGAAAGAAACTATTGCGATAACTATTGATATTGAAAGAAACTATTGCAATAACTATTGATATTGAAAGAAACTATTGCGATAACTATTGATATTGAAAGAAACTATTGCAATAACTATTGATATTGAAAGAAACTATTGCAATAACTATTGATATTGAAAGAAACTATTTTGATAACTATTGATATTGAAAGAAACTATTGCGATAACTATTGATATTGAAAGAAACTATTGCGATAACTATTGATATTGAAAGAAACTATTGCGATAACTATTGATATTGAAAGAAACTATTGCAATAACTATTGATATTGAAAGAAACTATTTTGATAACTATTGATATTGAAAGAAACTATTGCGATAACTATTGATATTGAAAGAAACTATTGCGATAACTATTGATATTGAAAGAAACTATTGCGATAACTATTGATATTGCAAGCAACTATTGCGATAAATATCGATAGTTTTCAGCGTATCTTTTTAGATTGATTTTAGAGTTAAATTAAACCCTGGAAGTGAAGTTTCCTTTGAATGTGATAACCATAAGACTTCCAAACACTCGATTTTCCACCCAAATTTGTCACAAACTCCACTTGACTGTCACCCTCCGCCATTTTACTTGAAGAAAGACCGGTTGCTAAGCACCAAGGGCAGTTAACTCTAATCCTCACTCGGCTGCATTCGCGAGCGTGTTTTGGTGACTCAATCACATGATATGGTAAATACAATTTAAACTATCGATATTCCTAACTAGAATTGACACGATTGATCAGAAACTGATTTAACAATCGATTTATTGACTTTATGTGCTTACCAATAGCAACATATCGATATTTCCATTTATCGTGACACCCCTAGTATAGACCTAAAGCATCATAATTCACTACAATCAACAAAAGTTTATATTTTGTAAACATGACAAACTGGCCATAATTTCTCTGACCTTATATCTGTACCTTCTGTAGAAAAAGCAACATTTACATTGTAAATAAATAAAACTATTTCATTTTGTGAACTGGCCATTTACTCTTTTGTGCACAGTAAAACCCTGTTAATCTGGCCCCTGTTAATCCAGACAATAACTGCTGGGACATCGAGATGTAGTCAGAGGACATTACAGCTCTCAATGATAGATCTCCGTGAATAGCTGGAAAAATGCTGATGCTGCGTAAAACAATATTCATTCATCCCAATGATAGAAATCCATGATTGGATTATTTCACTTGTAAAATACTGTTTGGATAATCAGGGTTCTATTTTGTAATCTGGCCATTCATCGTGTTTTACCAATTTGGTATCTTGAGTATCATAATTCAACAAATACTTTAATATTCTGCAAACTGGCCCAAAACCACAAAGTCTGTTAGCCCAAAGACGTGTATAGAATTCTGACACGCGCTATTATCCGGAAGTTTGGGTAACTAAGGAAGTCGATAAACTAGGCATTGCGCAAGCGCCAGATGACCAACGTTCGACCACTCTCGCCTCACGGGAGGGGGTCTTTCACATGTGTTGTCGATTGGCTTGGCCCGGATGCGCGGCGCACATCGGCGAAGGCTATCACTGCAGGCTTCCTATCCTTTGTATATACGTCCGGGGTTAGCCTATCTGTATCTGACATGAGCAGAGTATCATAATCTTTGTAAAATATTAAAATAGTGCAACTGGACATAAATGCAACAATACTTTCACTTTGGAATCTCAAAATATTTCATTTGGAACACATGACGTAATTAATAGGATCATTTGGACTGCTTGCAAATGATGAGGCTTAAACAAATAAAAGAATTGGTTCTCAGGCAATGGCTTTTGAAAATAAAGTGTGTGGGGGCAGATGGATTTGTGTTCAAACTAGTATGTAACCAAATAAACAGTTGTGTAACCAAATATACAATTGTGTAACCAAATATACAATTGTGCACAATCAACCTTGGAAAGGGCCTCCCTACATAAATGTATTCCTTGATGAGTACAATGTAAAATACTGGAATTCAGTAATTGACCACGTTGGAGTGGGAATATTTAAGGATTTTTTTTTTAAATGGAAATAAAATCGAAACGTTTGGCAAACTTTATGATGATGCACGCGGTGCCTGAGAACAAAGACTATTATCTTTTTTAGCCTTATATTAATACATAGTTTTCATACACTGGCAACTGTCGACTCTAAGCACCTTCTCCATGACCCCTGGCCTGATCTCCCAACACTTCCCCACCCCCAGTGGCAGATCCCGGGGGTAGGGTTTGTGGTGGAGATTTTGGTTTGAGATCAGCATTAGTTTTGGTAATATTCAGGATTTGATATTTTTTCAACATAAACAGGTACTCAAAAAAAAAGTTTTATATAGATAAAATAACGTACTACATTCTTTGGACACTTGCCTGCAAGAAAGGGGAACATTATTGTTTTTTCTACAATGTGAGGCATATGGAAAAACAAATTCAGCGAAACAGGGGCTAGATTTTTTTATATATAAAATCAAGCCCCCCCCACCTTAAAAAAATTAAATGGTTGCTCCCTCGGGTCCGGATTTAATGCATGCGTTTCTGTACGCAAGTTAACTGAAAGTAATTGGATTTTGAATAGTTTTTGGGGGGTATTTTACACAAATACGCTGCTTATTTGTAGCTCTGCACTCCCAACAAAAACAGCACTTCCCAATGCAGGTCAGTAGGGGGAAAGGGTTTCCAAACCCAACCTATAGAGATTTGAGCGTGTCTCTGAACACACTGGGCTCTAAGCCATTCCCTTCCTGACCTGGATGTCTGGTTTTACAAATTCCTGACAGTAACAGTACTTCCTGAGGTCAGGATGGTGTTTCTGAATACACTTGGGCTGGTCTCCATAGAGATTGAGGCGGCTGATCTCCGGAGTCACGTGATAGTGGTACGTCTCGTTCCGAAAGTCGACCTGAACTGTAACCTCATAGATGGCGTCGCTGGGACTCGTCTCCAGGGTGATTTGATAATGAGCTTTGTCAAGGTCAACCGATCTACTAAAATTAGCATTCCTCGCATCTGGGTCAGTTGATTTTTGGAACTTCAGGACCTGCGAAGATGGTGAAGGCAATGTCAGTACAAAACATAATTTTTTTCCTGAGGTTATAATTAAAAATGTCAAGCCGACATAATGACTCGCTGATCCATGATTTGTTTTGATTTTGTTTTGTTTTTTGACTCCCCAGTCAGCAGTATTCAAGCTATGTGATTATGGTCTATAAATAATCAAGTCTCAACCAGAAAATCCACTGATTGACATCATGAGCATCGATCCACGCAATTGGGATACGATGACATCAATCAACCAAGTTACAATCAACCAACACATTTGGTCGCCTCTTACATCAAGCATGGGTTGTGGAACCTATATTTTACCCCGAAAACCCCACAGGATTAAAACTGGACAGTCCTGTTCAAAGTGAAATCAAAGTGAAAGGTGGAATCAGTGGTTGAAGTGATGTTTCTTTAATTATTTTAAGTCAAGATGGAATCAAAAAGCTGAAAAATGACAAAACAGCAGTGTTCCCGCCAGCTTTTGAAACTGCCAGTTCTGCTCGACTTCCAACTCTAACCATTACCAGTCCCATCTAATTTTTGTCAGTTGTGACTTTCAACAGAAAAAAAACCATCTACAAATTACCTGTCGACATCATGTACATCAACAGAGCTCCAGATAAGCTTTTGGTGTTGTGGGTTTTTTACCCATGCATTTTAAAATCATTGGGTATCAGTAATTCTATCTGGGTATTCAAAGTTCTGTTACCCACTAGTTTTTACACATGTGGGTATTTAAATTAAATATTTAAAAACACCATTTATCTAGTCCCTGCAAACTGGTGTCGTGTGGGTTGGAGAGCTTTATAGGACTCAAAAATACCACGATACTTCCACAAGAAAGTGTGATGGAAAATGATCATGATTTAACTGTCACCATGGAGTTTGGCAAGGTTGACAGAATGCCCATATATAATTTCAAAATAAGTTGCTGATTTGCTAATCAAATACGCAGGGTTACTTCACAATATTTTGATGATACGCACAAGTTTTATTTTTGTAGAGTATCTGTAATGTTCGATGCGTATTTGATACGCTTGGATTTTATTTTACTGCATATTTCTGCATTTCTGATGCGTATTTTACGCAGATACACATCTTATCTGGAGCTCTGCATCAATGCAATGACGTCATCTCTGAAGTAACTTAGTTAGAACTACGTGTTATTCACACAAAGTTCAGTCACAATTTTACCTTCTTTTTTTCTAAATATTTTTTTTAAAAAGTCGCAACAAATATATATTTAACCTATAGCAAAGCTGAATGCCATTGCCATGCACTGATAATAGACAAGGGGAAACCTTGTAACAGACTACTTGACTTAGTTCGAAAAATATCTGCAATGTTTTGTTCAACAACAAAGATTTATAAGGTACTTTATCATTTAACTTAAGCATTTATCCATGACATAAGCTTATGACATAAAAACATGTATGTCATACCCCAATGACATAAGTATGCAAATTAGATATGCAAATTAGATAACCGGAAGAGCGAGCGGTTTGATTTGAAACTATATATTATAAGTGAAGTTACACCAGAGATATAATCAGATTACACAGAATCGTTGTTGTTACCGTTATTAAAGTTTCAATTATTCTGCAAAAGTCTGTTCAAGTATTTTGTTTCAAATAATCCGAGGAACTTTTTTTCTCAGCGAATTGTTTATTTTGGTTTACATGGCTATGGAAAACATGTATCACTACGCACGATCTATACGTAAGATTTCGACAAGTTGCTGATGTTAATGTTTAATGCAATTATTCCTTAATTTGGAAGTAAAAATGTGAAAATGATAAATAGAATTCATCACGAGTGTTTTTTAATATGGGAAATATCAACCTCGTCCCGTTAATCGGTATTTGCCTCGCCAAAGGCTCGGCAAATACCGATTAACTAAGACTCGGTTGATATTTCCCATATTAAAAAACACTCGTGATGAATCCTCTATTTATTTGCTGGCCCACAGGGACTGGCAGTCACATGAATTACCGGTCCAAGCCTAATTTTACTGGTTAAAAACTGTTAATTACCGGTCAGAAGAACACTGCAAAACAGAGGTGTCAATGAACGAAGAAACTACCGCCAGAGCTACAGATAAACTGCGTATTTGCCTAAAATACCCCCCAAAATATTCAAAACCCAATTACGTTCAATTAACTTGTGTACAGAAACGCATGTATTTTATGAAAAACTCAAATGTATAAAAACAGCACACGTAAATTCCCAATGAAGCTTTTTAAGCATGCGTACAACAAAGCTAATTTCCAAAACACAATTACGAGCTAATTTAATTTCCCGGTCAAGTCTATATTTAGTACCATTATATATATATCTAAAACATTATTTCATTTTTTTTAAATTTAAAAATGTTTACTCATTTGGGTAAAAAACAAAATAGTACAGATGAGTGAAAAAAGATTGGTTACCCAATCAAAAATGAAATAAACCAATAAGAATAGAACCCTTCGAGGAAAAAACTCAATTGTTCAAAAAGTTATCTGGAGCACTGTACGGCAGCACTATGAGGAACCTTGTCAGACTTTTCAACCTACCTTCTCATTAGGCAACACCATGTAAGCAGTGTATATTCTCTTGAGACTTAGTTCCGTGCAGTTGCCACGAAGTTTCCTTGTCAACCCATTGATGTAGTTGACGACCTCCTCGGACGCTGTCATAACAAACTTATCCTCCAGGTTGACCTGCACTTGATGAAGACAAGAGCACCAATGGATGTCTATTCTGGCTGAAGCACATGTCCGGTTATTGGGAATGTCTCTCAGAACACTCATCCCTCTCTGTTCTGGATTAATGGGAACCGTCAATCGTTCCAGATTCAACAAATCTAAAAATGTTTCATGAATATCAAACGGTGTTGTGAGACGTTTGCTGTTCCGTTTTAAAGCTGCTTTAGCTTGTGGATATTCGTGAAGAAACCACGCTGGCATCACAAGCGACATCATTGGGAGTCTCTCTTCAAGCTTTCCCTGCACCGTATTCCGCACCTTGCTGTATCTGGCGCCATGGTCGCCCATGACGACAAGCATTGTGTTGTCAAGGTAACCCTTCTTCTGAAGAAATTGCAGGAAGTCTACAAGATCTCTGTCCATGTACTCTCCAGGGTCGTTGTCCCAGTGGGTGAGTTCCACGCTGAAGCCGAACGCGAACCTCGACACATTGTTGTAGCTGACAAAGAAGTCTTTGAGATAGTCCAGCAGGTAGATGTGGTGAGGGGTGGTGCCGGTGCTGTACCGCGGACTCTGTGAACGAAGGCTGGACTCCCAGATAGCCTGCCAGAATGGCCGCATGTAGTGGTCAGCGGGGGATTCCTGAAAACATGGAGAAAATAAGTTGCTGAGTCAGTCTCAATAAAATCTGATCTTTCACACTGACACATACGGAAACCTGTTAGGGTCATTTGTTTTGTTTGTTTTTTCTTGAAATTTCAAGATACATGTACTAACTTGAAAATTCAAGACACATACTAAGTTGAAATTCAAGAAAAATTGAAATTTCAAGTTAATATCATGAAATTTCAAATTAGTATCTTGAAATTTCAACTTAATATCTTAAAATTTTAGGATCATTATCTTGAAATTTCAACTTATTATCTTAAAATTTTAAGATGATTATCTTGAAATTTCAACAAACCGGTATGTATCTTCAAATTTCAACTTAGCATCTTGAAATTTTAACACAGCATCTTGAAATTTCAAGTGAGTACCTTGAAATTTCAAGAAAAAAACCAAAAAGACAAATGGCTCTAAAAGGCTTCCGTAGATACGATACTTCTCTGCAAAAATATCTGATGACACTCCAGCACAGGTTGTGCCAGGCGAAGATTCTAATCAGCCAGTAAGCACCAAGGCTTCCTTATTTTTGGTACGAGTGAGCAAAACACTCAGACGTGGACAACTAGAGTGAATTGCTGGGCCACCCAAGTCCCTGAAACATTATTACAATTAAGCGTCATAAAATCTCTGCCTGACCGGCCAGTCACCATCTTGTAAACTCATACATGAGTAAACTCGATGATACAACTCTACACAAATGATACACACCTATAGCATAAGGATACGTATCGTATCGCAACACGTATCATACTTCATAAGGCTCTGAAGGCACTGTCATTAAACCGTTTGTTGGACTATTGAGTTAGCTAATGTTTCAGACTCAGCCCTATCACCAGACTGTTTCAAGTTAGAAGAACCAATCCGGCAGACCCCAGGCATAATAATAATGTGCACTTATAACGCGCTGGTCTCCATGCAGCAATTCATGCTCAAAGTGCTACATTATTACCCCGGTCAACGGATCAGTGAGCACTCGATTTTCATTCTCAGCTCCCTGGGGAGTATACAACCCAAAGCTGCCCGTAAGGTCCTAGAAGGTCAACAGTCACATTACCATCTCATCCTACCGGGTACCCACTCACTGCTGGGTGAACAGAGGCACATTTCGAACAAAGTCACTTGTCCAAGGAGACGCCACACGTGGTACATGTGCTTCAGTGTGGGGGCAGGACCGAAGCCCTAGAAACTCTCAGGTGTCAAGCTGCTCAACGTGGTCACCCATCCAACTACTCTCCGACTTAACTTCACCTGATTTGTGATCTGTACGCTGTACACAGGACCACGTGCCACCAAAGATAGATCAAAATGTGAAAACTAATAAACAATAAACAGTTTGCAACTTGTGAACTTGTAATCAGTGTTTGATATGATACATACCGTATTCGACGCAATAAGCGCCCCACTCTAATAAGCTCCCACAGCGATATTTGCTAATACGTGTATACTGGCTTGTGAACAATCCCAATTAGAACCCCTTCCGATTGATCAATGTACACAAGGCTTATTTATTCGTGTATAATACGCACTTGTGTGTTATACATGTTATATGCACCCTTAAATATGGGCAATTAAATTCTGGAAAAATATATCTGTCGTGTATAATACACACAGACCTTTCTTTTGTAAAATTTCAGGCTGTCAGCATAAACCACGAAATTTATGATCTTTCATTTTTTTCAAGTCTGTTTTTTTGCACAAAATTTATATTCTAAAAAGAGCCCTCTATTTTTAATGGGCACCTATTACGTCGAATACGGTAATCCCTTCCTTGTGAGTGAGTATGATTTTACGCCGCTTTTAGCAATATTCCAGCAATATCATGGCGGGGGGACACCAGAAATGGGCTTCACACATAGTACCCATGAGGGAATCGAACCCGGGTCTTCGGCGTGACGAGCGAACGCTTTAACCACTAGGCTACCCGACCGCCCCCTTCCTTGTGTGTCGGATAGGCTGTCATGTCACCTGGAATCCATTGAAGCGCAGGTTGAAGGTACTGATGGAGGGTTCATCCTCGGCGTACATGGTGGCGTAGCCAGCCTCCTTGAAGCGGTTCCACACCATGGGGTACACGTCCAGGAAGTTGGCATCCTCCTCGTCCTTCCGTACCTCCGGCAACTCCATCTCCGTCTTGCCTGCAACACAGCAACACCCCTTCACAGTGATGCCAGGTCAGATTGCCCTTAGTTTCAACACACTGTGGTTTTACCTTTTCTTACAAAATTCAGGTCCAGGGGATTCCCAATAATTGATTAATATATTAATTAGTTCTTAGTGAGTGAGTATGGTTTTACGCTGCTTTTAGCAATATTATAGCAATTATCACGGCACGGGACACCAGAAATGGGCTTTATACGTTGTACCCATGTCGGGAATCGAACCCAAGTCTTTGGCATGACAAGCGAACGCTTTAACCACTAGGCTAGTTCTTATAGGAAATATGACCAGAGTTCCAGATAATTTTTTGAGCAATTGAGTTTTTACTCGAAGGTTTCTATTTTAATTGGGTTATTACATTTTTCGTTGGGTAACCAATCTTTTTTCACTCATCTATTCATCACTCTATTGGGTTTTTCCCAAACTGAGTGAACATTTTGAGATTTTTAAAAAATGAAATAGTTTTTCAGATATATATAACGGTTTAAACATAGGCTTGACTCGGAAAGTAAATTAACTCGTAATTGTTTCGGAAATTAGCTTTGTTGTACGTATGTTGAAAAAGCTTCATTGAGCATTTACGCGTGCTGTTTTCAAACAATTGAGTTTTTCATTTCATTTATGCGTTTCTGTACGCAAGTTAATTGAAATTGGGTTTTGAATAGTTTTGGGGGGTATTTTACACAAATATGAGGGTCCTGTAAAGTGAGAAAACGGCGAAGTGTATTGTACTGTAAGATTTTATAATTACTTTAATTACAGGACCTATATATTTTTTGTCAAGAATTTGGTATAATTAACATAAAAACTATTTTGTCTGTGTCCATTCTATACATTTGTGTGTACTGGACGCACATTTCTGCTTCATATTTTGCTTGTTTGTTGTTTAACGCCGCAGTCAGCAATATTCCAGCTATATAACGACGGTCTGTAAATAATCGAGTCTGGACCAGACAATCCAGTGATTGACATCAAAAGCATCGATCTACGCAGTTGGGATACAATGATATGCATCAACCAAGTAAGCGAGTCTGACCACCCGATCCTGTTAGTAGCCTCTTACGACAAGCATAGTCGCCTCATCTCATCAAGTGAGTGAGTGGGTTTAACGCCGCTTTTAACAATATTCCAGTTATATCACAGCGTGTCAGCTTAATGTGGGAGGAAAGCCCTAAGTGATGCAGGTCTCAGACGTTTACCACTTCGGTGAAACCCACGAGCACGGGTATGGTGCTGACAAGCCTAGAAACATAATCGGGGGGAGCCTGGATTCGAACCCACAGGTTTCTAGCATGCCCAAGGGAAACAACTTAGATGATTGGGCCACCCGTGCTCCTTGCATCTCATCAAGCACTTCTGTTCAAGCAAGGAAAAATAACTCCTTAATACTAACTTGTGGAAAGATTTACCTAATGACAGAACAGGTGTGAACCGCCCCCATACGAACAGAATCCCCAAGAATTTAAGGTACGTAGGTCAGAACTCATAAACAATTTTCAAATTTGAGGATATCTCCTATTTCAAACCTAGGCATGATACAGACCCATCACGTCCTGACCACCCGATCCCGTTAGTCGCCACTTACGACAAGCATGGTCAACTCTGTTTTAAAGGAGAATACCGGAAAAATACGATAATAAATTGGGTCAAAGATCATGAAGATAATTGTTTGTTTTGTTTGTTATTTAACACCGCACTTAGCAATATTCCAGTTAAATGACCGTGGTTTGTAAATAATCAAGTCTAGACCAAACAATCCAGTGATTGATATCACATGATATCATGTGCATCGGTACATGTAATTGTGATACGATGACATGCATCAACCAAGTCAGCGAGCCTGACCACCCGATCCCCTTAGTCGCCTCTTACGACAAGCATAGTCGCTGTTTACAGCAAACATGGGTTGCTGAAGACCTATTCTACCCGTATCTTCACGAGTCTGCAGTAGGGAAACAAAAGCAGAATCAGCTGTCCCCATGTTTCTCTACCGACTGATATTCCGAGATGATTCCCCATCTTAGATTCATCTTGACAGCTTGCTCACGGTTAGAAATGGCTATTTTTAACCAACTACCGAAAAAATACTGACTACTGACTAAAGACCCCAAATTTATCTGACTACTGAACAGAACTGACTTGTAACACACACACTGACGACCCTCATATCAGAGCTCCAGATAAGCTGCATATCTGCGTAAAATATGCATCAGAAATGCAGAAATATGCAGTAAAATAAAATCCAAGCGTATCAAATACGCAACGAACATTACAGATACGCTACAAAATTAAAACTTGTGCGTATCATCAAAATATTGCGAAGTAACCCATGGTAACGCTGCGTATTCGATAAGCAAATCAGCAACTTATTTTGAACGATGACAGTTACATCATGATCATTTGCCATCACACTTTCTTGGTATTTTTGAGTCCTATAAAGCTCTCAACCCACATGACACCAGTTTGCAGGGACTAGATGAATAGTGTTTTTAAATATTTAATTTAAATACCCACATGTGTAAAAACTAGTGGGTAACAGAAATTTGAATACCCAGATAGAATTACTGCTACCCAATGATTTTAAAATGCATGGGTAAAATACCCACAACACCAAAAGCTTATCTGGAGCTCTGTAACGGGATTGTGTGGTCAGGCTCGCTGACTTGGTTGATGCATGTCATCGATCCCAATTGCGTGGATCGATACTCATGATATCAATCACTGGATTGTCTGGTCCAGACGACCCTCATATAAAATGTTGGCCTCACCTGTTAACATGGGGATGAGAGCGGCGGTTGTAGCATCACCAACAATATTGTAGCCGTCCAGCACAGTCGCCCCTAGCTCCTCCTTCAGGTATCGATACGTCAGTGGCAGTTTCCTCTGATAGGACAACTGCGACATGGAATCCATGGCTAGAATGAGGATGTTCATATTGGACGAAGGCTTCGTCATTTTGGCTTTAGCTTTGGTGATTCTATCAAACACTTCTTGCTTTGGAACAACTTGAACAAGAAACTGATCAAAATCTTTATCACTCCATTCAGCTCCCATAAAATGTTGGTAGTCAAATCCTTCACTGTCGTCTAGAGCCGGCCCCATCCCGGGATTAAACTGGTCCGAGTCTCCCCCTGGAAATGGCGCCATGATGTCGCCGGCGCCGTTCATCGGTTCCTTTAACTCATCCCCAGCTTTACCCTCCTCAAAATTCATCTGCAGCAACTTCCGTGCTTGACCTTGACCCCCCTGTGGAGTACCGGTACCTGATTGATTCCAAGTTTTCAATTGGTCCAATAAAGAATTTGATTTTTTGTTGACAGGTGCTTTTTGTTGAGAAAAACGTATCACATCTTTGGCATTTTGTTTGTCAAGTATATCATGATCATATTTCAAATCAGTTTGATGAATGTCTTTATGGCTGTTTGGAATATTTTTCTTCTGGTGCCTAAATTCCATTGACATCAGTCTTCGTTGCGCAGGATAGTCTATATTTTTCTCTTCTTCCTCGGTGCTCTTATAGTTACACTGTATCCTCAGAAAGTCATGATTTAATATGAGATCATATGGAGGTGCTGTCTTTTCTAGGCTCTCAGTGTAGGTAAAGAATTCATCCGTCATTCGTTCTATCCCAAAATACAAGCACTTGCCAAGTTCCTTACCCTGTAGCACAGTTCTGTTAAGCCGTGCAACACGGTTGTGCAAGTAAAACAAGCTCTTCCCAGTACAGTTCAAGGGAGGCATAGAATGGAATGCTTCTTTGTTGCTATCATGCTTCAAATCCAAGTGAGGATGCTGACAGGTCTGATTACTGATTTGTGATTTCCTACGACTCTGTTTTTCGAAAATCTTTTGGAAAATCTGGAGTCTTTCACGTCGGCGTTGTTCTCTGATGTAGCTCTCACTGTTTTTGTCCAGTGTGGCAACAGGATTAGAGTCGTCATCAGCATTGTAGTCAACTGGGTAGCGAGCGTCCATGAAGTTGACACCACAGATGATGTTGATGATGACTATGATTAAACCAGCAGCAAGGATGAGGAGTATCTTTTTCCCCCTGGCTGTTCTCCTCCATCGGTTGAGTGCTAACACCATCGTGTCAACATTGCCTGGGAAGGTGAACATGGATGTCGCTAGTTTGACTCTAATGGCTCCTTGATAGCCATTGTCCTACATCAATGTCCTAGTGTTGCTATCTTTGTATTTACCTGGCATTCCAACAGGACACTTTCTGGAAATGAATAGAAAAGGAATTATTCACATTTATTATGTTTACTCAGGAATTTACAAAGACCTTCTCAGAGACCAATATTCAGCCCCAAGCCTATAGCAAATTTCAGCAAAAATTCCCAAATAGGAAAAGGAACTATCCCAACTCATGTTTATATCTGTATAACAATAATATATACTAATGTCTTGGTCGATGTGATTTGTATCTCTGATAACATGACCAATAGAGGAAGAGGCTTTTCAGGAATACTTTTCACAGCATTAAATGCAATTTTATGTTTAGAATACCACTTAAGTAAGCAAATAATATATTTTTAAAATACCATTTTGGAACAAACTAATTTTTTTTCCAAGGGCAGTTTATCCCATATAAGCCTGTTAATTTGGAAATCGTATATGCTTTTAGTAGGTGGAAACAGGTCTTTTAGTATGATCAGAGGCCATATACCGATATGGTCTCTGGTATGATATATTGCACTAACTCTAAAAGATGTTGGAACGGAATCCATAAAAAATATTCTATTACAAATAAGTAGTAATAAAAATAGAGCATAGAATAGAGATGAGTCCTAATTGTATATGTGCTGTACGTATGTAAACAAATTACCGAATCCTTAACAAATGTTTCACAAACGACAAAATTACTAAATGATTAAAACGAATGAATGAGACAAATTTCCGCAGATGACATAGGTTATCATATAGCATAAACTGAGAACTGAGCTGCACAAGAACTAACACCTACAGTCGTGTAGCCTTACACGTGAACATGAGAAATCAATCAATAAGTCAACGATCAGTAAGCCTAGCAAGAATTGTGCTTCTCAATTTGCCACAAATACCAAAGCATCATCAAGTTCGTGCGAAAAGGGCAACATGCGAACACAATGAATAAATGTAGCAGCCATCACAATACAATCAAACAAATAGTACATTGTTTACCTTTTCATTGCTCGCGTGTAAACACGATCGTCTAAACACAGGTTTGACAACTCTTTTCTGTTTGGAGGTCGATAAGTTAATCGTAATTATAAAACGCACATCGATGAATAAATCCGAAACAATTTTATCCTTTATTTTATAAACTGGATTTTGCAAACGGTGAACTTAATCTCATGTTCAAAATACGTAATTCTCGTGAATTAAATGCTTCAATTTTCCGAAATACTAGGCACATGATAAATTAAATGACATCGTGTTTCGCATATCACTACAACTTTTTAGAATTCACTCAGCACCTAACTTCCGGATAAGTATTTCCGGTATTGTCTCGCGACCCTTGTACAATTCGATATTGTTAATGCTATTTTAAGGGTAATATTTGTAAACATCTAGTGTTTGGATCATTATTGTTTGATCCAAAAGTAAAATCATGGCGGTGTCTTGTGTACATCTTGAAGCAGATGCGTATCTGGTGTGTCTGACGCATGCCTTGTCAACCGAGAGAGAAGAAGTCATGGGTCTGCTCATCGGAGAGGTGAGCTTTAGCGCCAGGCCTGTACATCTGCATGAGCAGTTTACCGGGACACAGCTGTCGTTGATCAATTGCTTGAATGTTAGTGTGTGTGAATTTGATGTATGTCAAAGAAAATACAGCCTATATAGCACAGATTGGCTCAGGCAGCCGGCCGTTGCTCTCGCTTCACAGGTCTCGCGTACCTCTTCGATGGTTAGTTGTGTTAGAGAAGATTAGCCCAAACTCTATTCTTAGCACTTTGATTCCCTTTCTCATCAAAAACCCACGATCATTAGGTTTAGGTACCCTTTCCTATAAAACATCTCTTTACGATCCTTCAGATTAGCCACCAAGATTCTTAGCTTTAGTTGTGAGATGGAGTATGCGTTAGCTATAACTTCTATCGATTTAATCCAAAGTAATTTCAGGAAAATCAATCATTTTATCACGTTTCGAGTTTTGCATAGAAAATGGCTACTGTCACAGTAACTGTGCATGCATGTGGCGGTAAACAATGGGCTGCTGATCACTTGGTTGGTTGTTTGTTTAACTCCGCACTCAGCAATATTCCAGCTATAAGACGGCGGTTTGTAAACAGTCATGTCTGGACCAGACAATCCAGTGATTGACATCATGAGCATCGATCTGATCATTTGGTACACAAACACTAGTTATTTGTCATAGCTGTTTAGCACTTGTGGTCCTGTTGCAAGGTGGCAAAGTGAGTTTGATCCTCCATGTGGTATTAATTGAAAACCGAAACAGTTCTCCTGGTAAGGTGCACTACTCCCCATGCTATTTAGCTCTAGTGGTTGTTGAGTTCAAATTTGCATTGTCAACTTGTAGAAGCTAGGTTAGGTGAGCTGGCAGATAAGTAATTCGCCAACACTGGACCACTAACCCTTAGTTTCGGAAAGGGGAGATAACCTTCCCAAACAGTGACACAGCCAACATTGGACCACTAACCCTTAGCTTCGGAAAGGGGAGATAACCTACCCTAACACTGACACAGCCAACGCTGGACCACTAACCCTTAGTTTCGAAAAGGGGAGATAACCTTCCCAAACAGTGACACAGTCAACACTAAGGATCAGTGAAGTTTGATTCACAGCTGACTATCGCTACATCGCTGCAGTACAAAACAGGAAAGTCTGCTAGAACACACTCCTGGTAAAGTCAGGGCTCGATTTAAGGAACTTGATTTAACTTGCACTTGATGCATGTTGATATGCAATCTATGTTGCACCAAATAGAACCAGGGTGCACCCTGCTCTCATAAATTTATCAAAGTTGAAACACAGGCTTGTCTGCTGCCAGTGTCACTTAAATTAATGACACGTTGCTGTAAAAGTGAGTGAGTGAGTGAGTATGGTTTTCCGCCGCTTTTAGAAACATTCGAGCAATATCACGGCGGGGGACACCAGAAATGGGCTTCACACATTGTACCCATGTCGGGAATCGAACCCGGGTCTTCGGCGTGACAAGCGAACGCTTTAACCAATAGGCTACCCGACCGCCCCCATTGCTGTAAAACGTAATAGGAACATGTGCACATAATCTTGAAGTACCCACAGTTTGATGATGTCACCATGAAAACATAATGAATTACACAGGATTAGTTATGTTGTATGGTAAATAAACTTTAGAGGTACTAAGTTAGTTCAAAAATGGATTGTGTGTGGACAAGTAAAGGTCAGTCAGACACAAAGTTTTTTACGTTCATTTGGTGCATGTAGACATAAATATTAGGCTGTATTTTCAATAATAGGTTGAACTTGTGCATGTTTAAAAAAGCTAAATCGAGCCCTGAAAGTGTGTTCTTGCCTTGCATGTTCATGGTTGATAAACACTTGCCATGTTTGTCACTGCACAACTGAGAATACATTGAGTGGCAACTTTAGGATGGTTAAGATTGGTTAAGTGCAATTACCAAACTATAACTAGTTAGTGTGCTGAACCTTCAGGTACAGGGGGCGGTCGGGTAGCCTACTGGTTAAAGCGTTGCTCATCACGCCGAAGACCCGGGTTCGAATCCCGACATGGGTACAATGTGTGAAGCCCATTTCTGGTGTCCCCCGCCGTGATATGGCTGGAATATTGCTAAAAGCGGCGTAAAACCAAACTCACTCACTCACATCAGTCATAGTAGGTACAGGACCAATTCACTGTTCAGCTGGTATTGCAGTAAAATCCAGCTAATGACACAACAACTAATATTTTACATTTACTAAGGATTTGTAGCAATCATTCAGATGATTCCAGAGTTTCGGAGGGCCATCAGTCACCAGTCAAAGACCGATAAGATTCCTATTTGAACGATGGTTTGTTTAAGATTTTTCATGCATATATTTTTGCATTAAACGTTGTGTCCGAGCCGAGAATTCAAGGCGACGAAAGCCGAGATGTCATTTGACTCACATTACACGCGATCGCACGAAACGATGGAAATAATAACTTAGATGTAAGTTTGATTACTTTTAGATATATTTTTGTTGAATTTATTTAACACTTTGTATAATATATTTAAAGATTTGCTTAAAACGTCTTTATTTTGCTCTTTGACATGTTCGATGCGGACCCGTTGTCGAAATGTGTGTCCGAGAATTTTATTTTCAATAACATCGCGGGAAATAGTGAATAATTTTTTTAATTTATCGATAAAAAATGATAAATTGAAATGGAATACGTATTTCAGACATTGTGAAATGTGACGGATTTAATAAATGAATGATATTACAGGTAGATCTAGGTCCATAAAAATATATACTATTTTGACGTGACGTGAGATAAACACATTGATGATTTGAGATTTGCCGAGCGCGCTCCCCCGCCTCGGCCTCGGTTAAACGGCTCATCGTCTATAACGCCCACCAATTATTTGGACCCCATTGGTAGCGTTGTAGCGAGGGACCACTGTAGTCAGACTTTTGACCAATAGAAATGCTAAGCAAGGTGTCACATTTTTTAAAATTTCTTAATTAGATAGTAAGGATCACTCCCAGATACAATTTTAATTTAAAAAACAATTCACAGCCATAAATTTTTGTAATGGAAATTCTAAGCAGCAGATGACATTACATCATACTTTCTGTGTCATAGGAAAACACTGTCTCAAGCTATTGTGATTAGTCAAGCGCTTTTAGTATCGCAGTGTTTTATTGGCCAGATAGTATATTTTCATCCAATCACAAATGGATTTGCTGTTATGGTTCTGCCATTTTTGTTGATTTGACTTATTGACTTTTGTCATTGACTTATTACAATTTTTTGGTCCAAGTCATTGACCTATATACAGTTTTTTGTGTCTAAATCACAGGATTCTAGTATGTAAAGTAACAATCTACCTATGTCAATATGTATTGTATGTTTTAGGTTGACGAGAGGAAAGTGTCCCATGTCTCGGCTGTCATCATGTTAAGGAGGTCGGACAAGCAGGCGGACAGGGTGGAGATATCACCGGAACAGCTTTCTGATGCATCAACCAAGGCAGAGGTAGTTTATTAGCACAATAATATAAGGGTAACGCTATTTTTCAGGGCATTATCATTTGCAGAAGCCCGAGGTCTTCCATTAACTGCCCGACGAAGGAGGGCAGTTGAAAAGACCGAGGGCTTCAGCAAATGATAATGCCCTGAAAAATAGCGTTACCGTTATTATAGCTAAAATGGATGGAATTTGTTATCAAATAAATAGAAACAATGTCGATTTTGAAACATTTACTGCAAACAACACGAATGTCACTGACCCACTTTTACAAATATGGAAACGTCATAGAACAAACCAGATGACGTCACTATTGAACGTTACATCACCTATCCCTATCCTATGACGTCACCTAACAACGGGCGTGATAATGGCCCGTCGTCAAGTAATATGAGGGCATTATCAAGTTACAGTGGCCCGCTGATTTCTGATAACATGCGGGCGTTTTAATGATAATTCTATCCATTTTAGCTATAAGGCCTAATAATAATAATAAAGTATTCCGCATAAGCGCCCAGGGCGCTCTCAAAATTAGAAATAGGGGGCTCTTATTAGAATATTATTTGGGTGAAAAACTTTTTGAGTTGAAAGATAAATTTTCTTGGTTTATACCATGTTATACTGACAGCCTGAAATGTATATATACGACAGATATATTTTTCCAGAATTTAATTGCCCATAATTAAGGGTGCATATAACACGAGTGCGTATTATACACGAATAAATAAGTCTTGTACATTGATCAATTGGAAGGGGTGCTAATTGGGATTGTTCACTAGCCAATATATTAGCAAATATTGCAGTGGGTGCTTATTAGAGTGGGGTGCTTATTACGTCGAATAAGGTAATGATAATAATAATAATAATAATAAAGCTACAGATAAGCAGCATATTTGCGTAAAATCCTCCCCCCCCCCCACCCCCCTCTGTCAATACCATGAGAAGTATTCAAATGGAATTATATATGAAAGTACCCATGACGATCCAGGTCAGATCAGCAACCCATGCTTGTCGCAAGAGTGACTAACGGGATTTGGTGGTCAGTTTTGCTGACTATATTGATGCATGTTATCGTATTTCAGTTGCTCATGATGTCAATTATGCTGTCATGGTGACTTGATTATTTACAGACCACAATCATATGCTTGCTGTAAAAGGCGACTATGCTTGTCATAAGAGGCGACTATGCTTGTCGTAAGAGGCGACTATGCTAGTCGTAAGAGGCAACTAATGAGATCGGGTGGTCAGGCTCGCTGACTTGGTTGATGTATGTCATCAATCCCAATTGCGTAGATCGCTGCTCATAATGTCAGTCACTGGATTGTCTGGTTCCAGACTCGCTTATTCACAGACCGCTGTCATATAGCTGGAATATTGCTGAGTGCGGCGTTAAACAACAAACAAACAGATATATTGCTTGAATATTGCTGAGCGCACCAGGTTAAACAACAAACAAGGATGTAGATGTTACTTGTTTTATGCACAGGACTTGGCCAAAGAGCTGCAGCGGCCGATGCGAGTGTTGGGCTGGTACCATTCTCATCCCCACATCACAGTGTGGCCATCCCATGTTGGTAAGAAACATTAATAATCGGTTACCATTGTTACAGATCCAGATGCTTTTGTGACCTCTATCAGGGTCATTTACCATGGTTACAGACTTTGTTTGTCAATATATGTAACCTAGCTAGTGACTCAGTAAACAAGCTCTTATTGATAGGTCAAATGACCAGTTGTCATGGATACCTGTGATAATACTGTGTCAGGTATCAGAATCCAACACTTCTCATTGATTTATCTAGAGCTGTTCGGAGGCCGATATTCGGCCCTGAGTCGTCAGCAAGAGACAGTTAACATTCCAAATTTAAATTTTTTAAATCCCAATTCCTCAGAATTTGCGAAATAAGAACATGAACAAAATCCGATTTTGAACAATGTCAAAAAACAATTCCAGTTTCCCTGCCCACTTTTTTTAAACCCGAAATAAGTCCCTGACTGCTCAGAAAAGAATGTTATTTGTGTGTTTTATTACTGCATTTCTTAAAATAACCAGCTTCATGATCATAACCACCAAGACATACTCTTCTTAAGTGTAGAAAACAAATAACTGCCTGCCCCCCTGCCCGTGGCTGGTAACTTTTCTGTCGGGCTGTCTGAAATTTTCCTCCTACTGCCCACTTGTTGAGCAGATAATTTTAACTTTTCATAGATTTTTAAATAATTGTTTGGATTATTTCAAACGAATTAAGACACGATTTGTCTCTTATTATTTCATTTTTTTTCAATATTCTTAATGTCTGAATGAGGGCAGGTTACTATGAAGGTGGGCAGGCAATACTTATGGGTCACCTGCTCGACTTATTTCAAACACTGATTGGTGAAACGTTACAGCTGTTTGTGGATGACGTGAACTACTTCAGTTTGTGTATTCTGCGTCTTTGTGTTACGTTCAGATGTGCGAACACAAGCGTCATACCAGCTGATGGACCCTGGCTTCATAGGCCTCATCTTCTCCGTGTTTAATGAAGACAAACACACCAAGGTAACTTTTCTCACTTCTCACAGTGACACCTGAAGATCCGGGGTAGAATAGGTCATCAGCAACCCATGCTTGCCGTAAAAGGCGACTAGGTCACTAGAGGCGACTAACAGGATCGGGTGGTCAGGCTCGCTGACTTGGTTGATGCATGTCATCGTATGCCAACTGCGTGGATTGATGCTCATGATGTCATTCACTGGATTGTCTGGTCCAGACTTGATTATTTACAGACCGCCGTCATATAGCTGATGTTGCTGAGTGTGGCGTTAAACAACAAACAAACAAACAAACAACTTCTCATCATGCTCATAGTGCCAGGACATACATTACATGACTTTGGGTTTGGGTGGCCAGTGCGCTGCAATTTTCCGGTTCAGAGTTGTGACCCTTGTAATGTCAGGATCCGCTGATAGTGGGTTTAAATTATATCTTCAACTGAGTATGTTCATGTGATCATAGATCTTAGCACTGAAACCATGCATTTGGGTTCAATGGAAAATATCAGCTGTGTCTCTATTATATCTCAGGTGTAGTACAAGCAGCCACACAAACAACAAGCAACATTAATGCCCATTTTACCTCACTTCCTGTATTCAATGATCAACAGATGCATCTCAGTTTTCTTGTGGCACTGGGACAGTCGGGGAGTGTAGTGGTTAGAGTCTCACTCAATCACATTAAAATCAGATCTTAGTTCTCGCTACCGCTAAACAAAGATCTGAGGACGTCCCATTACGACTTCATCAGAACGACCTTTCATCTGACCAATCAAAGCATCGCTTATCAGACCATGAAAGTGACAGTTGGAATGTGAATTTTGATCGTGCAACCTTGAAAAAACCACACACAGGGTATTCCGAACAATAGTAAGGGTCTTCATGACTGTATTCACACTATCTAGACCATCTATTAGCCATTCAAGAATGTTCTTTTGTTCAGGTTTTAATTTTTTAATCGAGTATATGTCAAATTATGTTTCGAAGCGTAGTCGCCAGTTTGAAACCCGTGCTGTAAAGCTTGATTAAGCTGCCTTCTGATTGGCTGTTGTCGACTTCTTGTTACTCATTCCATTGGTCGGTCAAATTTCGCAAAAGATCGTTCTGACGTGACCCGTAATGGGATGTCCTCAGATCTTTGTTTAGCGGTAGCAAGAACTAAGATCTGATTTTAATGAGATTGAGTCTCACTTGTATCACCGAAGACCTTTGTTCGATTCCTGACTTGGGTACAAAGTGTGAAGCCCATTTCTGGTGTCCCCCACTGTTTTATGATTTCCCCAAGCCCTTACAGTCCCGCCTGACATTAAATGTGAATTGACAATCCTGAATTTGTTTGCAGCAAAACCGAGTTCAGGTGACCAGCTTCCAGAGTGTGAGTCGGGGAGGAGACTACGGCCCTCTCGAGTAAGTAACCATGGTAACAGTAATAACTCTTAAGGAAGTAACCGGGGTGACAGTTGTCATTTTCGAGTAAGTAACCATGGTAACAGTAATAACTCTAAAAAGGAAGTAACCATGGTGGCAGTTGTCATTTTCGAATAAGTAACCATGGTAACAGTAATAACTCTCAAAGGAAGTAACCATGGTGACAGTTGTAATTTTCGAGTAAGTAACCATGGTAACAGTAATAACTCTCAAAGAAAGTAACCATGGTGACAGTTGTAATTTTCGAGTAAGTAACCATGGTAACAGTAACAACTCTCAAAGGAAGTCACCGTGGTGACAGTTGTAATTTTCAAGAAAGTAACCATGGTAACAGTAATAACTCTCAAAGGAAGTAACTATGGTGACAGTTGTAATTTTCGAGTAAGTAACTATGATAACAAAAATCGGTCTTGAAGGAAGTAACCATGGTGACAGTTGTAATTTTCGAGTAAGTAACCATGGTGACAGTTGTACCTCTTGAGTAAGTAACCATGGTAAAAGTTGGAATTCTCGAGTGTGTAACCATAGTAACAGTCGTAACCTCCAAGAGAGTAACTATAGCAACAGTTGTAATTATCATGTTGCCTGTTTCCATGTAAATTGTGGAATAAATGTTTGTTTTAAGACTAAACCTGGGATTCAAGGATCTATACTGACCAGCCCTCAAATAACAAACCAGATGGTTGTTAACAATGAATCTGGAAAAGATACAATCTCATTAAAATCAGATCTTAGTTCTCCCTAACCCCTTAACAAAGATCTGAGGACACCCTATTACAAGTCATGTCAGACCGACCTTGCACAAACTTTGACCGACCAATGGAATGACAGACAAGAAGTCGACATTAGCCAATCAGAAGGCAGCTGTCTTGTGCTTTACACTTATTTCAAATTGGCGACTACTCTTCAATACATATTTTGACAAATTCTCGATTAAAATTGAAACCTGAACAAAAGAACATTCTGGAATGGCTAATAGATGGTCTAGGTTGTATGGATTCAGTCGTTAAACCCGTAACTATCTTTCGGAACACCCCGCGAGATCTTGTGATATTGACAGAGCTCCAGATAAGCTGCGTATCTGCGTAAAATACTCATCAGAAATGCAGAAATAAGCAGTAAAATAAAATCCAAATATGCAACGAACGTTACAGATACACTACAAAAATAAAACTTGTGCGTATCATCAAAATATTGTGAAGTAACCCTGCGTATTTGATTAGCAAATCAGCAACTTATTTTGAAATTATAATCGGGCATTCCGCCAACCTTGCCAAACTCAACGATGACAGTTACATCATGATCATTTGCCATCCCACTTTCTTGTGGAAGTATCGTGCTATTTTTTAGTCCTATAAAGCTCTCGAACCCACACGACACCAGTTTGCAGGGACTAGATGAATAGAGTTTTTAAATATTTAACTTAAATACCCACATGTGTAAAAACTAGTGGGTAACAGAAAATTGAATACCCAGATAGAGTTACTGATACCCAAGGATTTTAAAATGCATGGCTAAAATACCCACAACACCAAAAGCTTATCTGGAGCTCTGTATTGATGAACTAACTTTTAACATTTGACAGTGGCAATACACTTTCCCATACTGCTCCTCTGGTCCTAGGTACACTGACGTTGTGTGAGTTAGACTAATACACTCTGTGTTGTGTCTGGGTTGCAGCTATGACAGGATCGAGATCCCCCTCCACGTCGTGCCAAGTACCGGCATTGGCCGAGCGTGTCTGGAATCCCTTGTCAATTTACCCAAGATCCTCAGTCTCGAAGAACAGGAAGCATACCAGCACACCGAACAACATGACCTTGACCTTCTCACCAAAATACACAATGCTGCAGGTAATTGGAATTGTAGTGTGTTCGTTTGTTTGTTTGTTGTTTAAGGCTGCACTCAGAAGTATTCCAGCTATATGATGGCGGTCTGGACCGAACAATCCACTGATTGACATCATGAGCATTGGTCCATGCAATTGGGATCAATGACATGCATCAACCAAGTTAGCGAGTCTGACCACCTGATCCCGTTAGTCGCCTCTTGCGACAAGCATAGTCACCTGTTACGGCTAGCATGGGTTGCTGAAGACCTATTCTACCCCGGAATCTTCACGGATCGAATTGTTGTGGGAAAGTCTGAAGACTTCTTATCCTTATTGTCAACCATCGTCTGGTCAATGGAGTGTTGGGGAGCGGAAGGGAGGTGGTTCGATTCCCGGACCCATTACACCAAAAGACCATAAGGGACGGTTCTTGTTGTTACCCTGCCTGGTGCTTGGCATTAAGGGGATAAAACAAGGGCTGTCCCGCTCGGAGACAGTATACTGACATACAAATTGACGTAATACCACAGTAAAGATTATTACTGCCGCTTTGCGCGCAGACTAAATAGTTTCGAGTGACACTGCACATTGAGGTTACATGAAAAGCTCAGCAGGGTTCGTCTAAAAATAGCACCATATCTCAGTCACTGATAAACATTCACTCATTCAAGTCAGATACAATGAAATTTTCACTCATAAGTATAAAAGCACTTATGCGAGTTGATTGAAAACTTGTTTTCACTTAATTGTTCGATTAATCTCTGTTCAAATTCAACAAGCGAAGTCTGCGGCCATGTTTTCAAGCCTTGATTTTTTAAAACGTTCACAGATTGAACTATCAACACGTGTGATTTTCCTCACCCAAGCGTGTCAGTTTTATCACAGAAAAGTCAACTTGACAGGGCAAGGATGAAACTAGGTTTTGATATAGGTTCATGGACTCTCTTGCCTTGCGAAGATGGTGACACTGAGGTTTAGCATCTCAGGGTATGAAATATGACAAATCTTACCTCGTGAATTTGAGGAAGGGTGCTCTCCGTCCTCGTGTGCGATGCTCTCAGTCTGAAGGCATCTGGCAACATGAAGCTGCATCAGCTGCGTCAGCTGGTGGGGGAATACATTGATTTATTCCCCAGGAGGTCCCAGGAAAGGCGGCCATGTGCTATAATTGTATGTAACATGTGTTGATTGTAAAAAAAGGAAGTCTGGTTGACCTGAAATTGTGATTGAATTTCCATGATCTTTAAATTTACTATCTGGGTACCCTCCACCCTGTTACCCGACCCTACCCGCATACCCTCCACCCTATAAAGCCTATTACACGACCCTACCCGGGTACCTGTTATAGATATTTAGAGATAGGTACAAACTGTCTGATTTGGAAAAGTTTGACTGCAGCCCTGGCAAAATGTATTTAGATACATGAACGATCTGGTCATGCATACACTGAAGTTTACAGCATGGAGTTTTATCTTTATTCAAACATATAAAAGTCAGAAGGAATGGGTGCATTGTCAGAAAGAAATGGGAACATTAGTGACCAGTAGTGTAACCACAGAGTTTTAGATAATTTTTGTCATTAAACAATATATCACATGACTAACCACAAGTCCGGGTAGTCCTGTGGGTACCCGAGTCCTACTCAAGACCCACCCCACCCGAGTACCTGTCCAAGCCCTAATCAATTTCAATTTGTCATAAGAGGCAACTAACGGGTGGTCAGGTTCGCTGACTTTGTTGATGCTTGTCATCGTATCCCAATTACACGGAGTGATGCTCATGATATTAATCACTGGATTTTCTGGTCCTGACTCGATTATTTACAGACCGCCATCATTTATCTGGGATATTGCTGAGTGCGGCGTTAAACAACAAACCAACCAACCAATCCAGCCCAAATCTTTAACATGTTGAACATCACACTAAAACCTTTCATTTCAGCATCATATTTGAATGATTGAAAAATAACTGTTCTATTCATTCAAAATTAATTATATCTCATTATAGACACCTTCCCAAGGAAAGTGAGTTTACTGACTATAAAAGTCCAGTTTCCACCCTAGGCTGGAATTCTGGAATTATATTTTGGCTGGACTAACGAGTCTGCATAGTCCAATCAAAATCACGTAAGGAACTAGACATCTGATTCGTAAACAACATGGATTTCAACTTGCTGATTTTAGTCGACTGAAGGATTTGCAAAGCATGTGTATTGCCATATGGGCGTCGACAGATATTTGCAAATCTTTTCATGTTTTTAATCAAGGTGCTCAATTTATTTGTGCACTTTGTGAAGTAAGACCTGTTTTATTACAATATAGAGCTTGATTATCGATCAGATGTTTTTACCGGGAGCCACCATTTTATCTAAAGCAAATGCAGGTGATGAATCTGATTGGTCGAAATGAGGGACAAAGAAGGGATATAACTCATAATAGCCACCGTTGGCGCTATGTTTCAGGGTACACCCTCTGAATTGAGTGTTCACCTTCTTTGTTTCAGTGTTTACCTTCTATGTTTCAGTGTACATCTGCAATCTTTCAGTGTTTATTCCAATGTTTCAGTGTACACCTGCAATCTTTCAGTGGACACCCTCTTAATTCAGTGTTTAACCTTGTTTCAGTGTTTACTTCAATATTTCAGTGTTCACTTCAATGTTTCAGTGTTTACTCCAATGTTTCAGTGTTTACTTCAATGTTTCAGTGTTTACTTCTGTTTCAGTGTTCACCTTCAATGTTTCAGTGTTTACTCGAATGTTTCAGTGTTTACTCCAATGTTTAATGTTCACTCCAATGTTTCAGTGTTTACTCAATGTTTCAGTGTTTACTTCAATGTTTCAGTGTTTATTCCAATGTTTCAGTGTTTACTCAAATGTTTCAGTGTTGACTTCAATTTTTCAGTGTTTACTTCAATGTTTCAGTGTTAACTCCAATGTTTCAGTGTTTACTCCAATGTTTCAGTGTACACCAAGTCGGAGTGCCACATCATGGACGTGATGGGAGGACCGCTGCTGCAGAGCCTGGAGAACAGACTGGAAATGAACAAGGTCCGGATGGAGCAGCTCCGGCATCGGAAGGAAGAGATCAAGAAGAGGATGAAGGCCCTGGCCACCACATGATGACCTTGACCTCTGACGTAGCTTGGACAACAGGACAAGGAAACAGAATCGACCCGCACAAAACGTCCTTGGAGAGTCCATACTCCGTCTGTCTTGGACAGAAGTATTGTCAGTACTTCACATGTTTGTATGTGTTTCTCCATCACTGTGAGTGAGTGAGTTGGGTTTAACGCCGCTTTTAACAGTATTCCAGTTATATCACGCTGTGTCAGCTTAATGTGGGAGGAAAGCCAAAAGTGATGCAGGTCTCAGACGTTTACCACTTCGGTGAAACCCACGAGCACGGGTGTGGTGCTGACAAACCTAGAAACATAATCGGGGCGAACCAGGATTCGAACCCACAATCATAGGTTTCTGGCCTGCCCAAGTGACACAACTCTGCACAGCGAATCGCAGCGCCTGAGACGACTGGGCCACCCGTGCCCCCTCTCCATCACTATGAATACATGCGGATGATTAGCAGTGGAGTCGTGACACATCTAGTTTTCATCCAGTAGTGAAATGACGTGAGTATGGTGTTACACCGCTTTTAGCAATATTCCAGCAATATCACGGCAGGGGACACCAGAAATGGGCTTCACACATTGTACCAATGTGGCAAATCGAACCCATATTGTCGGTGTGACAAGCAAACACTTTCACCCCCGGTCTACCCGACCGACCCCCCTGTAATGAAATGAGGCTGTGTAGGGAAGTCGAGTGAGCCCAACTCTGCACATGCATTGTGTGTGAACCAGACTGTAACATGAAGCAGTGTGAAGAGAAGATGACCACAAGACTATGCCACGTGTGAAGCCTCTTGCTGTTCCTCGGTTTTATCCCTCAGATTCAGGTTTTACATCTCATAAACCCCGAGGAGAAGTGTTTTATCTGACTTGCAAACCGAAAAAAGAAATCTGAATCAATTATCAACTATTCTATGTCAAACATACTTTCCATGAACCTTTGGAAACGGGCATGAAATATCTGTTGCTGGCGTACATGTACCAGCACTAGAAAATGAGATTCTTAAGCTTCGTGATTTATCAGTACCTCTGAAGTCAACTGGTTCACTCACCAGGCTACAGATACAAAGGTTGTACCGTATTTTCTTGAGTATAGTGCGCATTTTTTTCCAAAAAACACAGCTGTGTAGAAGGGGTGCACATTATACACGAATTAATGAGTTTTGATGTTTTTCCCCCATGGAAGGTTGTATGTGTGATCCACTGAAATATAGAAAAAATATTGTCATTTGATTTTTCATATTTGCTTTGGTAGATTGTGTTCAAATGCAAGATAAATCTGTAGTAAGGGAAATGCACACATTACAATGTTACTAGAACTTGTATAGTCCCAGGGATATTATGTAAAGTCCATGGAATATTATATGAAATCCCAGGGATATTATATAAAGTCAATAGAATATTATATAAAATCCCAGAGATATTACATAAAGTCCATGGAATATTATATAAAACCCCAGGAATATTATATAAAGTACCTGGATTATTTATAAAATCCCAGAGATATTATATAAAGTCCATGGAATATTATATAAAATCCCAGAGATATTATATGAAGTTCATGGAATGATATAAGGAGGTTTATGATGTGAGATATAATCTGAATGCTGATTGGTTGAAAACAGCGACTACACTCCCAAGTGGCTGTGTGTATTCACAGGTGATGAAGGAACAGAGTGAATATGTCGGCATAAATATGTTCCCCCTGAACATTTGTATACTATTTAGGAGCTCTCATTGCTGGAATTGATCTCTGTCAGGGTTTGAAGCCTCAAGATCAAGACTCTCCATCCTGACAAGGCCTACACATTACTGGTATTATATTTCCTTCGGAACTGGTGATATGTCTCTGTGTCCAAAATTGGGAAAAAGTGCAATTTGTTTCCTCTGTGCTGAGAAGGATACATTATCACAATCTTTTTGTTTTGTACTTACTGGTGAATACTGATTCTGAGATAATCAAATAAAGTCATTGTTACATTCTTCATGTCATTTGATATTGTTGTGTCTTTTTTAGGTCACCTTAACTTCCAGTGGATGTGACCTTTTGGTGTGGCATGCCGTCCTTTCATGCATCTGTTGTCATTTTTGACATCTCCTTGTACTCAAGCCATATGGGACGGTTGGGTAGCCTACTGGTTAAAGCGCTCGCTCGTCACGCCAAAGACCCGGTTCGATTTACCACATGGGTACAATGTGTGAAGCCCATTTCTGGTGTCCCACATGGTGATATTGGTGGAATATTGCTAAAAGGGACGTAAAACCTCACTCACTCACTCACTCACTCACTCACTCACTCACTCACTCACTCACTCACTCTAGCCATTTTAAAAATGTCATTTGAGCTCGATACAACATTTCGGTTCAAGGGGCCCAGTTTTCTAAATCACGGCCATGCATGCTACATAGTTGCATCCCTTGGGCACGCCAGAAACCTATGACTCTGGGTTCGAATCTGGTTCCCCCGATTATAATTCTAGGTTTGTCAGCACCATATCCCTGCTCGTGGGTTTCATCAAAGTGGAAATCATATAAGACCTGCATCACTTCGGGCTTTCCTCCCACATTAAGCTGACACGAAAAGTGGCGTTAAACCAAACTCACTCACTCACTACTAAAGTCAACTCACTCACATTGACCTTTTAACTGAAAGGTCATTGAAAACTGGTGGCATGCAAGGGGTTATCCTCACACCCCTATATAGTTAGAATGGACTGAACCAAGTGCTGTTAGGGGAGAGATTCCCTTGCACTGCATCACAATATCTCATTAGATAAATCAAATTTTGAAAACACAAACACTTGCTTGGAATTGGATCGCTGAACTGATTGATGCATGTCACTGTGTCCGAGTTACGTAGATCGATGCTCATGATACCAAGAGTCGGATTGTCTGGTCCAGCTCGATTATTTACAGACGGCTGTCATATAGCTGAAACATTGCTGAGAGCAGCGTTAAACAACAAACAAACAAACAAACAAGTGAGTGAGTAATCTTAAAATGTGATACACAGTGTTAGGTCTTTCTACCCGATAGGAACAAACATAGATCTGCTAAAGTGGCAACTCAGACTGGCTCCTGGCAACCATGACAACAATATCATTAAACTCCGATCTTAGTTCTTGCTACTGCTGAAGAGGCGACTAACGGATCGGCTTGTAAGGATCGCTGAACTGATTGATGCATGTCACTGTGTCCGAGTTACGTAGATCGATGCTCATGATACCAAGAGTCGGATTGTCTGGTCCAGCTCGATTATTTACAGACGGCTGTCATATAGCTGAAACATTGCTGAGAGCAGCGTTAAACAACAAACAAACAAACAAACAAGTGAGTGAGTAATCTTAAAATGTGATACACAGTGTTAGGTCTTTCTACCCGATAGGAACAAACATAGATCTGCTAAAGTGGCAACTCAGACTGGCTCCTGGCAACCATGACAACAATATCATTAAACTCCGATCTTAGTTCTTGCTACTGCTGAAGAGGCGACTAACGGATCGGCTTGTAAGGATCGCTGAACTGATTGATGCATGTCACTGTGTCCGAGTTACGTAGATCGATGCTCATGATACCAAGAGTCGGATTGCCTGGTCCAGCTCGATTATTTACAGACGGCTGTCATATAGCTGAAACATTGCTGAGAGCAGCGTTAAACAACAAACAAACAAACAAGTGAGTGAGTATGGTTTTACGCCGCTTTTAGCAATATTCCAGCAATATTACGGCGGGGGACACCAGAAATGGGCTTCACACATTGTACCCATGTCAGGAATCGAACCCGGGACTTCGGCGTGGTGAGCGAACGCTTTAACCACTAGGCTACCCGACCGCCCCCAAACAAACAAACAAACAATTAAACAGTACACATGCGTAGTTGATAAGATGCTGAGTTCCAGTCTTGATTCGATTGACAAGTCTTGAATGCAATGTGTTTGTGACAGGTGAGACAGGATACGCTCACCTTTTCGCGAGCACCTTGTGCCAACATTATCTGATAGTGATTCATAAACACATGTTCATGATGCAGTCGGAAACCTGCAGCTGACTCTGCTAGTGGCGGAATTGTCTGGTTGCCATGGTAGGTTGGTTGGTTTGTTGTTTTACGCCGCACTCAGCAATATTACAGCTATATGACGGCGGTCTGTAAATAATGGAGTCTGGACCAGACAATCCAGTGATTGATATCATGAGCATCGATCCACGTAATTGGGATTGATGACATGCATCAACCAAGTCAGCGAGCCTGACCACCCTATCCCGTTAGTCGCCTCTTACGACAAGCATAGTCGCCTTTCGGCAAGCATGGGTTGCTGAAGGCCTATTCTACCCGGATCTTTATGGGTCTGTTGCCATGGAAAGGGTTTTGTCGCTTTATTTATTCCACATATTTCTCTTTCACAATCGCTCACATATCCTTTATATCACAGTGTCAGTACAGAGACATAAGTCACTGTAGCTCACCTAATTTTTTCTGGAATATTAGATGGATAAGTAAAATATAACAGACATGATCGTTTGCCCTGAGTACTATTCACAGCCTACTGCAGTACCTAATGGTCAACGGCTGACGTTACAAATACCACAATGCTCAACAAAATATCAAACATGTTATTGTAAAATCACACATCATAATAATGATGTAATTTTAAAACACACGCAAATAATGATGGAGCAATGGGCGTTATTATATTTTTATTTTGACAGCCATGTTTAAAGTCGGATCAGAATTCTATGAGCAAATTTTCGAGATATCAATGGTTGCTGCAAAGTTCAAAGTGCTTTGTTTGTTTGTTGTTTAACGCAGAACTCAGCAATATTCCAGCCATATCACGGCGGCCTGTAAACAATCGAGTTCGGACCAGTCAATCCAGTGATTTGATCTCATGAGCATTGATCCAAGCAACTGGGATACGATGACAAGCATAAACCGAGGCAGGGGGCCTGACAACCCGATCCCGTAAGTCGCCTCTTACGACAAGCATAGTCGCCTCTTATAGCAAGCATGGGTTGCTGAAGACCTATTCTACCCCTGATTTTCACAGGTTCATAGTGATACATGCCCGGATGGACAAGCATGGGGCGGTATCACCTCCATTGACCTTGTAATTTTAGAGATTATGTGAAATATGCAGTACAACAAAAAAACCAATCCGTGAAGATCCGGGTAGAATTGGTCTTCAGCAACCCATGCTTGCCGTAAAAGGCGACTTTGTCGTAAGGGGCAACTAACGGGATCATGTAGTCATGCTCGCTGACTTGGTTGACAAACCTGGAAACACAATCGGGGCGAACCGAGATTCGAACTCACAATCATAGTTTCCTGGCGTGCCCAAGGGACGCAACTCTGCACAGCGAATAGCGGCGCCTTAGACGACCGGGCCACCCGTGTCCTCGGTTGAGGAAGACAGACAGGAAGTGTTGTGTGTAAGTGTTATCAGGACTGCTTTCTATGGGACCTTTGATCTCCGGATGACACTGTCTATATGCATAGATAGGTTTTTGCATATACAGCGATCTCACAAACGATAACTGATAACACACTTTATCTACTCTCCCGAAATAGAAACCCATAAGTAGATATCGTTTGTTGAGCATTATGTTTGTGTTGTAGACACCTATTGTAAAGCTTTGTAATACAATTAATCAAGGGGGCGGTCGGGTAGCCTAGTGGTTAAAGCGTTCGCTCGTCACGCCGAAGACCCAGGTTCGATTCCCGACATGGGTACAATGTGTGAAGCCCATTTCTGGTGTCCCCCGCCGTGATATTGCTGGAATATTGCTAAAAGCGGCGTAAAACTCACTCACTCACTCACTCAATTAATCAAGACTACATGATCTTCTTGACTGCGCATTGTTACACTGAAAACGTTACAAGTAGCAGATGAATCAGAACAATAGACGGCAGAACACTTTACTGTAATCAAGTGATTGACATCATGAGCATCGATCCACGCAATTGGGATACGATGACATGCATCACCAAGTCAGCGCACCTGACCACTCGATCCCGGTCTTTAGGTCTTCAGCAACCCATGCTTGACGTAAAAGGCGACTTTGCTTGTCGTAAGAGGCGACTAACGGGATCGGGTGGTCAGGCTCGCTGATTTGGTTGATGCATGTCATCGTATCCCAATTGCGTGGATCGATGCTCATGATGACAATCACTGGATTGTCTGGTCCAGACTCGACTTTTTACAGACCGCCGTCATATAGCTGTAATATTGCTGAGTGCGGCGTTAAACAATAAACAAACAAATATCTTCTCCTCACCGTTGGGGTAATCATGCAATACAACATGTCTCAGAAATATGGGAGTGGCGGTCAGCATTTCTACCATTGCATTGTTTATGAATTCACGACCCATTTTCAAATTTATATCAAAATGGATCATCATGACCATTCGTCATCACTCGCCCCTTTCCGTAACCTGCAAGAAGATTCGGCTAGTCTCGGAATAACACGAGTTGGTCACGAGTGCATGGAATTCGGGGGCAGCTATGCCCGCCCGGGCAGTTGTGTAGATTAGATACCAAGTTTGATCGTAATCTGACGTTGTTGTTGGCTTGAGGGTGAACAGCGGAGACACAGACAGCATGGCAGCGTTAGTCAATCCTGTACCTAAACCACGCAGACAGCCACCATTACCAGGTAAATATCTCAGCAGCAGTTCAATCACAGCGCAGATTAGGTACATTTGATACCAGTGAAAATCCGGGTTAGAATTGGTCTTCAGCAACCCATGCTTGTCCCAAAGTGCGACTAACGGGATCAGGTGGTCAGGCTCGCTGACTTGGTTGATGCATGTCAGTCACTAGATTGTCTGGTCCAGAATTGATTATTTACAGATCATTATATGGCTGGAATATTGCTGAATGCGGCGTTAAACAGAAAAAAAACCCAAAGGTACAGTTTGATTGTTTCCTTTTAAATGTCAAATCAATAATATCACCATTACGTATCAGATGTTTGTCTGTAATATGGCGGTCTGAAAAAAATAAATAAATAAAAAAAATATGGCGGTCTGTTATCGTTATGACAGGCCTAGTTAGATAAAACGCTACAGTCAACACAACACCTGATATCATTTACTCCTCGAAAGATAACAGACAAAATTAAACCCGGACGACTTGTGCTTTGGGTATATTCATTAATAGTGAGTATGGTTTTACGACGCTGTTGGCAATATTCCAGCAATATCACGGCGGGGGACACCGGAAATGGGCTTCACACATTGTACCCATGTCGGGAATCGACCCGGGTCTTTTGCGTGACGAGCGAACGCTTTAACCACTAGGCTACCCGCCCGCCCAATTCAATAATAGGATATTGTAATAGTGAAACGTCACCGTCTTACTTGGCGAAAACAGCAACAAAGTTTCGTAATGAACAGATTTTAACGATAGTCCTCGCCACTTGAAATAGACCCGTGAAGATCCGGATTAAAATTGGTCTTCAGCAACCCATGATTGCCGTAAGAGGTGACTATGATTGTCAAAAGAGGCGACTGACCGGTGGTCAGGCTCACTGACTTTTGTAATGCATGTCATCGTTTCCCAAATGCACAGATCAATACTCATTGCCAATCACTGAATTGTCTTGTCCAGACTCGATTATTTCCTGACCGCCGTCATATAGCTGGAATATTGTAGAATACGGCGATAAACAACAAACAAACACATTCTATCACTGAAGATTGTAAGGTGGTGAGGTGAAACGTCGCGTCCAAGATTATTGCACTTATATAGTGACGTGCATGCACGTGTATGTGTGTGTGGCTGCTTGTACTAGTCCGGACTGATGCCGATTTATAGTGCTAGCTCACTGAAATACCATCCCGCAGTTTAACATGAGTACCCCACTCAGACACAGTATACTGACTCCGAGCCGACCAGTCCTTGTTTTAGCCCCTTTATGTTGAGCGCCAGGCAGGGTAACAACAAGTACCATCTTTAAACGTCTTTTGGTATGACGCGGCTGGGGATCGAACCCCGCTCTCCGGGTGGACGCTCTACCATTAGACCACGGAGGCGGTCTTGAAGATTATAAAGAACGTTGTGTATTTCTAAGTAAATGCAGAGAATTTCCATTCCAGTTTTTGAAGATAAATACATTTAGGATACTAGGTATTATTTATCTTATTTTACAGGCCAAAACGTCTTGAGACTTGTACTTTTGGGCAAAACAGGATCGGGAAAAAGTGCAACAGCAAACACAATTTTGAATGAAAATGTTTTCAAGTCGAGTTCATCGTTCCAGTCTGTGACAGAAGTAAGCCAATATGCCAACCGGGAGACCCTCGGCCTCGTCATCCAAGTTGTTGACACACCAGGGATGTTTGACACCAACATGGAAAGAGACGTCGTTGATAAGGAAATAAAGAAATGTATTGCCATCTCCGCTCCCGGGCCACACGCATTCTTATTAGTGATTTCCTTAACGCAGCGATTCACAGAAGAAGATAAAAAAGTCTTCGATGAAATTGATGATATATTTGGAGATCAAATGCACAAACATTTGATAATCGTCTTCACGAGAAAAGATGACCTTGGCGAGGGAGAATCTGTCAAGGAGTATCTTGAAACTGCTCCCGATACACTGAAGCACATACTGCGGAGTGTTGGTGGCGGCTATGTGTCCTTCAATAACAAAGGTACAGAAGAGGCTCGGGAAAAGGATGTTACTTTCCTCCTTCAGCGTATTCAGAAAATGGTTCAGAAGAACGGGGAACGCTTCTTTTCCTCCTCTATGTTTTGGCAAGCTGAAGAAATTATTCAATGTCGGATTCAAAGCTCAGTTGCTGTGATGAAAACGAAGGAAGAAGAGATGAGGAAGGAAATTAGGATAAAACTGAGAGAAGAAATGGAAAACAAGATCAGAGAAGAAAGGGAGTCTTATAGGGATCAACTAAAAGAAAACTTGAAACGGATAGAACATCTGAAGCTAGAGAAGGAAGATCTGAAGCGGGGGCCGAAGGACATACACGATAACCCGGCCGACCATCATGTATCCAGGAGAGACGAGAAAGTGTTGGAAGCGTTGGTGCAGAGGGAAATGGAGATCAAGTCAAAGAAGAACAAAATGGCTTCACAGTTACCGAACAGCTATGGTCGGGAGAGGGATTCACTTCTTCAGCAAATCAAAGATGCTGAGGAAGAACTCGCACATGTATTCACTGAAAGAAAAAAGGCTGAAGAAACAGTTGCGGAGGACCGGTATTTAACCCAGCTAGAGCTGAGAGCGCAGAATGTTAGAGAGGAGGAAAGAGAGAGTCTCCTGAAGGAAGATGTTTCCACACTTAGTAGATATAGAAAGGGAATCAAATTTGCTGGAACCCGATTTTTAAACTTATTCCGGCGAAAATAGCCTAGATACCAATGAAAACATTATGAAAACGTTAAATTTACTTCTTGTCATTCTTATCCAATGCTTTAACTTTGAGGTAATAAATTGGAAGATGTTTTTTTAGGAAAATACTTTCTGCTGTTGTGATATTCAGTTTGTCAGATCTAATGTCTTTGTTGGCCATGATGTGCTCTTTTATGTCCACGACACCTGAATCAACATCCTGGTTTGGTGGGGCATATGATGTTGCTTTAATGCCCTATTAGTTCCATTTGTAACATATTTCATATTATTATGCCTCAAAGTGAGATTGACCAATCAGAGAGCAGATCTACTGACCCCACATGAGCCCGTATACCGTCAGTAAAAATCTAAGATGGTTGATACTGACCTAATATGAGACCGTTTACAGTCAGTAACAGCCAACTTGGATTTTCAAACACCCACCTCTCATATTTCACATGGAAATTCTGGTACTGAAATTCGTTATTTGACACTTTTTTTGTGTTTTACTATCATTAATTGTGATGTGCAAGGACATTAATCTGTGTTTTAGATCACGTTCGTGACTTTATTGATAAAAATTATCGTTAAAATTTTCAACAAGGTTTGGCCTCTAAGGTTTGAAGAGTAGGCTCCCTTTGACCCTTAACGTCCATGTACGGATAGTGTCAAGTTTTCATTTTGACATGACACGTGTGATATGGATACCAGATAGTGTAAACTTTTCGGCATAATAAATTCGTTATGGTGTCTTCAGTTGCCGTATACAGTGTCATATTAGGTTAGACACGGTATATGCCGAAAAGTTGTCGACACACCAGAGATGTTTGACACCAACATGGAAAGAGACATCGTTGATAAGGAAATAAAGAAATGTATTGCCATCTCCACTCCCGGGCCACACGCATTCTTATTAGTGATTTCCTTAACGCAGCGATTCACAGAAGAAGATAAAAAAGTCTTCGATGAAATTGATGATATATTTGGAGATCAAATGCACAAATATTTGATAATCGTCTTCATCAGAAAAGATGACCTTGGCGAGGGAGAATCTGTCAAGGAGTATCTTGAAAATGCTCCCGATACACTGAAGCACATACTGCGGAGTGTTGGTGGCGGCTATGTGTCCTTCAATAACAAAGGTGGAGAAGAGGCTCGGGAAAAGGATGTTACTTTCCTCCTTCAGCGTATTCAGGAAATGGTACAGAAGTCGGGGAAAGTTTCTTTTCTTCCTCTATGTTTTTGCAAGCTGAAGAAATTATGCAATGTCGGATTCAAAGCGCAGTTGCTGTGATGAAAACGAAGGAAGAAGAGATGAGGAAGGAAATTAGGATAAAACTGAGAGAAGAAATGGAAAACAAGATCAGAGAAGAAAAGGAGTCTTATAGGGATCAACTAAAAGAAAACTTGAAACAGATAGAACATCTGAAGCTAGAGAAGGAAGATCTGAAGCGGCAGCCGAAGGACATACACGATAATCCGGCCGACCATCATGTATCCAGGAGAGACGAGAAAGTGTTGGAAGCGTTGGTGCAGAGGGAAATGGAGATCAAGTCAAAGAAGAACAAATTGGCTTCACAGTTACCGAACAGCTATGGTCGGGAGAGGGATTCACTTCTTCAGCAAATCAAAGATGCTGAGGAAGAACTCGCACATGTACTGACTGAAAGAAAAAAGGTTGAATAAACAGTAGCGGAGGACCGGTATTTAACCCAGCTGGAGCTGAGAGCGCAGAATGTTAGAGAGGAGGAAAGAGAGAGTCTCCTAAAGGAAGATGTTTCCACACTTAGTAGATATAGAAAAGGAATCAAATTTGCTGGAACCCGATTTTTAAACTTATTCCGGCGAAAATAGCCTAGATACCAATGAAAACATTATGAAAACGTTAAATTTACTTCTTGTCATTCTTATCCAATGCTTTAACTTTGAGGTAATAAATTGGTAGATGTTTTTTTAGGAAAATACTTTCTGCTGTTGTGATATTCAGTTTGTCAGATCTAATGTCTTTGTTGGCCATGATGTGCTCTTTTATGTCCACGACACCTGAATCAACATCCTGGTTTGGTGTGGCATATGATGTTGCTTTAATGCCCTATTAGTTCCATTTGTAACATATTTCATATTAGTATGCCTCAAAGTGAGATTGACCAATCAGAGAGCAGATCTACCGACCCCACATGAGCCCGTATACCGTCAGTAAAAATCCAAGATGGTTGATACTGACCTAATATGAGACCGTTTACCGTCAGTAACAGCCATCTTGGATTTTCAAACACCCACCTCTCATATTTCACATGGAAATTCTGGTACTGAAATTCGTTATTTGACACTTTTTTTGTGTTTTACTATCATAAATTGTGATGTGCAAGGACATTAATCTGTGTTTTAGATCACGTTCGTGACTTTATTGATAAAGATTATCGTTAAAATTTTCTACAAGGTTTGGCCTCTAAGGTTTGAAGAGTAGGCTCCCTTTGACCCTTTAACGTCCATGTACGGTTAGTGTCAAGTTTTCATTTTGACATGACACGTGTGATATGGATACCAGATAGTGTAAACTTTTCGGCATAATAAATTCGTTATGGTGTCTTCAGTTGCCGTATACGGTGTCATATTACGTTAGACACCGTATATGCCGAAAAGTTGTCGACACACCAGGGATGTTTGACACCAACATGGAAAGAGACGTCGTTGATAAGGAAATAAAGAAATGTATTGCCATCTCCGCTCCCGGGCCACACGCATTCTTATTAGTGATTTCCTTAACGCAGCGATTCACAGAAGGAGATAAAAAGGTCTTCGATGAAATTGATGATATATTTGGAGATCAAATGCACAAATATTTGATAATCGTCTTCACGAGAAAAGATGACCTTGGCGAGGGAGAATCTGTCAAGGAGTATCTTGAAACTGCTCCCGATACACTGAAGCACATACTGCGGAGTGTTGGTGGCGGCTATGTGTCCATTGAACAAAGGTGGAGAAGAGGCTCGGGAAAAGGATGTTACTTTCCTCCTGTGTATTCAGGAAATGGTACAGAAGAACAGGGAAAGTTTCTTTTCTTCCTCTTTGTTTTTGCAAGCTGAAGAAATTATGCAACGTCGGATTCAAAGCACAGTTGCTGTGATGAAAACGAAGGAAGAAGAGATGAGGAAGGAAATTAGGATAAAACTGAGAGAAGAAATGGAAAACAAGATCAGAGAAGAAAGGGAGTCTTATAGGGATCAACTAAAAGAAAACTTGAAACAGATAGAACATCTGAAGCTAGAGATGGAAGATCTGAAGCGGCAGCCGAAGGACATACACGATAACCCGGCAGACCATCATGTATCCAGGAGAGACAACGAGAAAGTGTTGGAAGCATTGGTGCAGAGGGGAATGGAGATCAAGTCAAAGAAGTACAAAATGGCTTCACAGTTACGCAATAGCCATGGTCGGAGAGGGATTCACTTCTTCAGCAAATCAAAGATGCTGAGGAAGAACTCGCACATGTATTGACTGAAAGAAAAAAGGTTGAAGAAACAGTAGCGGAAGACAGGTATTTAACCCAGTTGGAGGTGAGAGTGCAGATTGTTAGAGAGGAGGAAAGAGAGAGTCTCCTGAAGGAAGATGTTTCCACACTTGGTAGATATGGAAATGGAATCAAAACTGCTTGAAACCGATTTTTAAACTTATTCCGGCGAAAATAGCATAGATACCAATGAAAACATTATGAAAACGTTTAATTTACTTCTTCTTGTTCTTATCCAATGCTTTAACTTTGAGGTAATAGATTGGAAGATGATTTTTTTAGGAAAATACTTACTGCTGTTGTCATATTCAGTTTGTCAGATCTAATGTCTTTGTTGGCCATGATGTGCTCTTTTATGTCCACGACACCTAATTCAACATCCTGGTTTGGTTCGGCACATGATCTTGCTTTTGTAACAGTGCTAAAATTGCTATATTTTATTCAACTTTTTGTGAAATTCGCCTTCAATTTATAAGTTGTCGGTTAACCATTTAAGACCTGTCAGTACATACTAGCAATAAGAAATTGTATAACAACATCTGGCACTTCAGATCTACGCTGCCACAAACAGGTCGGTGGGCGAAACTTTAATTAGATCTTGAATAACAACTGGTAGTGGTCAGCGCGTTCGGCACTTGCCAGTGTACCGTTATCAGCTATTTAGCGGCAACTGACCAAACTAGAAAATTGAAAACGCGAAACCAAAACATGAGCTGAGTGATTCTATCGGCATTTATAATCTTCTATTACTCAACTCTCCAAACTGACCGTCTGCTTTGGCTATTAACAGCCCAAAACCATTATACAAAATTGTATAACATGTCCAGTCTTTATTAGTCCAAAGTCTCAAATTTCAAACTGGACATGCACATGTAGACTTGCCTTCAGATTAACAAAGGAGGTCTCAGGTATAAATATAGGGGGAAATCGACTGTTAGTCATTCCTGCTTTGCCTGAGAACCTCTCTCTGTTTGTCTTTGAAGGTAAGTCGCTTTTACTTGTTACTTTGCCATTTAGGTTGAACTTTGCTTAAAATTGTCTTTTAAACTTGTCTTTAATTTTGTATGAATATCTTGCTTGAACAATGAACTTATACTCTATGTATTCGAAATGCCGTTCGAATCTAAGCTGCATATCATTCAAGTTTTTCTGACACAAATTAACTACAGTAATTTATATGCGTGCGTCTCATGTAGAAATATTACTATTCCACAATCAGCGTTCGTATCCCACATGTTTATTTATCGGGTTAAAACTACTAGGCAAATGATTATTAATCACAGATGTTGTGGATACTTCATAATTATCATGTTTCAATGTGAATAGAGTGCATTATAATAATGTATGAATTATTTGTCCGTGTATCGGTAGGACCAGTATCCATATGTGTGTCGTGTTATTTACCTTATTGTACGCTGTATCGTTAGTAGAGTGGTTTTATAATGCAACAACGTTAAATGTGTCAATATGCATTAACATTATCCAGTTACTCGATATCATTTACGTTATGTATATTTGTTTGCGTTCTTATGCCTGATAAATACGGTTCTAGAATATAACCTATATCCGATGTTCATGCATCAAATATATTCTTTATATACAAAACCAGATCAGT